GACCCGCTTCTATGTACAACACCTTCGCCAAGTTCATGAATCTTCTCCTAAACGTCGGCACTCTCGATATCGTCCCTACCATCCCCTGCAACCTGTCCACCCCCGAGAAGATCACCATAATACTACGTGAAAGGATGACAATGGCGGATACAGATTTTATAGGAAATTATGGAGAGTAATTCCTGAATAAATAACTCAAACTAGATAGGGTTGTATATGAACTCTCTGTAATTTCCAGTTTATTCTTTTATTTTTACCTTCTGACAATGGCTTGAAGTTGTGCTTTTCTCACCATATCACTTGATGGGAACTCGGTCGTGCCCCAATCCTCGGGTCTTTCGGTTTTGCATACCATTACCAATCTCCTAAGGCGAAACTCTTCGTCCTCCGTCAGTTTCAGGTTCTTTATTTGCTCCTTCATGATCAGTAGAGGCCCCACAAGCCACTGGAATACTTTGTCTCTTGGACTGTTTGCATCGGTTAGCTCCACATCGTCATCTGGAAAAATTCATAGATTGCGTGAAGTTATGCATCTCCGTTGGTAGCTCAAGATCATTTCAAGGAAAAAAGAACATACAGATCACCAAGCCTGATGAATTGGATTTAGCCGATGCAAGTAGACATTGTAACACGGTCCAAGCCGGTAGTTTGATATAAAGCTTCTTGCAATTACCCTTCACGAGGCATTCCTCGACATCCTTCACTTCTATCAGACCATCTCGAAGCAGTATCCTCCCATTCACCTCGCATGACTTAAACAGCCAGTCCCATACCTGCAAGAGTATGAAGATAATAATGCAAACTCAAAAAAGAAGAAAGTTACAGGCCGTTGTTACCTGAACTGGTTTATATTGATATATTGCCTTCTTCAGCGTTCTGGAATGTTCTGAGATGAGCCTCGAACCAAGAGAGGCAGTTCTTCTGCTCTTGAGATCAACATTCTCCCTGTCTCCTGATGTTCTCTTTCCAGAACCAGAGTCCATTGTCCTTCTATAGCGAGGCCTGGTTGTCGCAAGCATATATTTCACAACAGCAATGAAACAGTGATGGAGGAAAACATGATTTCGTTAGGTTACAAGAACCAAGTGAAAAGAAGATTAGATGCATTTCCTGCTAGGAACGAACCCAGATAAGCAAGACAGTACATATACATATACATATACATGTACATGCAAATAAGTCCTGTGTACCTTGGCAGGCAAGTTCCTTCACTCAGATATAGTAAATCATTCACATATTCATCAAACAACGAGACCGCAGCAATGATATAGTTGAGCCCCATCTTGAAAGAGTCCTCCTGAGTGTTTATGAACTACCTCAGATTGATATCCAGATTGCGCAGAAACAAACATATGCAATAACAATATTTCACACATCAATACATTAAGCAATCATGGTCCATGGATGGACATCTGAAATGTTCCATGTTTTCGTCAAGTTTTCATGATCTTATGATTCAATCATGTCGAGCATAAATCTACAATCTACAGCTAGCACGACAATGTTAATAAAAATGGCAACTCTTGAAACAACTTCGCTTTGTAGAATTAGCCAATTCGCTTCCTAGATTTTCCATCACTGACCCTTTGTCCAAAAATTCAATCTTTATCCAATTCTAAATCCACATTCATGCAAACATGTCAACCCTAAAAAAATGAACAATGAATAAACTTTTGCAATAGAGTCACTGTAAACCTGATGGACGATAACTCCGCTGTAAAGACCCAGAAAGAAGCTGCAGATAATCGAAGAAACAACAGCTCCCAAAACCGCTAGTGGCCATAGTATTATGGCAAGACCTGCGAATGGAACACATACAGTCTCCAAGAATGGGCCTTCTCTACCAACAAGGTCTTCTAGTAGCCTCTTCCATCCTCTGAGCAACATGTATGGGCTTTTATAAATAGCAACTGCTGTTATCAGAAGTACATCTACCAGCACACCTATGAGGCTCGCAAGCAGGCAACTTGGGAGCCTAGACAACCTAGCAGACACGAGATGTGCCGTCACCAAGAAGTCTTTCCTTAACTTTTTTTTTTCTCTCTAATATATATCGAACAATGGAACATAGTCTTACTTTATCTCAACGGGTTGTGCATCAGCTGAGATCATCTCTCTTAACTCGTCCATGTAGGAGAAATATGAATGGAAGCAAAAGTCAGTGAAATCTCTCACCGTGGTGCAGCTCCCTTTAACCGTGGAGAATGAACCGTCCTAGAATAGGAAGAGTGACATGGTGACATAATTTTTTTTATCCAAATTGAACTTACTTGGAGTACAATTGAAACTGTAAGAAACACCCACAATAAAGCAGTGGTAACATTTACTGGTGACAGATTCTCCAACTGCCTCAAAGGTAGCCATAAGCGGTGTGAAAAAGCCGTATGCTATCCCACCCAAGAGACTTCCAGCAATCCCAATAATTGGCCAAAGGATCAGAGGCACTGGAAACAATATCAACGCCATGATCTTCAGGATCAACCCAATTCTCTCGGTCCTAAAGGTTACAGAAAAAGCAACAAATTAAACAGAAATACAGCCGAAACTCGAAAGTTACCAAAATCAAAATATAAGCATACCCACCTCGCTAAACAGTAGTAGGTCCAAAAGAAATGTGCCGGCCAAAGGCCAATAATCACGGCGGAGTTGCCAATCATAATTATAGCCAATGCAATTGGACCGACAATCAGCGCTGAGAAACAAAAACCAGAGGAAGATTGAGACACTAACACCTCGCATAACCTACGGCCACACACACCATTCTTCCCTTCCGCGCATCAGCATGCAATAGCAGAAACAGTGGACGGGGCTTTTACTCACCATTTATAGTTACAATCTCATCTAACTACGCGGATTTGCTATTAGTTTGGACAAAATATTAACGGAAAATGTAGTCCCTATGCGATCAAAACGTCATCGGTAGGTAAAGTTTTATAAAAATTACGTGAATTTCGCGCAAAATTGACGTCATTCGGATAGAAACAGACAAAAACCGTGAAATTCACTCAAAATACTTGAGCAACTCTCCCACGCGATTCCTGAGACAATAAGATTATCCGGTCTGAAACATACCCAAAATCACCACCGATCACACTGATCGAAACTTCTATATTAGCATCACCATTGAGAAAACCAAGACAGCGAAGCGATCACGAGAAACCGAGACTCTAGATAACGATTTGAGTCAAATGATTCTTGCAAATCTCTCTCAGCATGTAAACGAGTATAAGTAGGTAGCTTGCTTACCTTTGACGAGACCGAGAACAAGCAGCAGGAAGAAGAAAGGAAGGAACGAGACGAAACTCCATAGTTTCGCCATAAATCCTACGGGAACTTCCATGGCTGCGAACTCTGGAGCAGAGAAAGAGGTGGGGACAGAAACGGAAGCGGAAGAAAAAAAGTGACCCCGCGGCAAAACGAGAGAAAGATAGGGAGGCAGTACGTGGCAGCAGTGGGACACGTGGCGTGGAAAGAAGCATGTGGTCCCCGCTGTCACGCAAAAGCACATGTCTAGTCACGCCTTTTGGCGGGAACCAACTACTCTCGGTTTTGGGATTCGGAATTTCCGGTTTAGTTTGTAAATCGATTCCTGAGCATTTTCCCGGTAGGGATGGGCAAAACACCGGATAGCAGGCGATGGAGCGAAGGGGCTCTTGGACAGAATGGAGCAATGAGGACGTGTTTGGATGCAGGATTTGATGAATCCGTGAATAGAAAAGCATATACGAATAATCGAATCGAGGGAGTTATCTAGGGGTATTATGGTAATTTTAGATAGCAATATACTTATATTTTATTTATTGTGGATACACTAAAATATCATAGAAATAAACATTGTTTTATTCTTGTTCGATATTCTCCGGTAATCTACGGCAGGGTGCATACCCTCGAGGCCTCGAATGCACCCTCAACGATTTCATTACTGGTCGAGCATTCATGTCCAAGGTATGCGCAAGACCGAATACCCAAAAAAACTGCGAATCTCGAGTACCCGTGTCCAGCTACCCGATCTAATAGAAACTGAGGTCGAATGTCAAATATGATATACGATATACTGGAGGATGAATTCAATACTCTCGAAAACTCGATATCCGAACCATACCTACCTCGTGGTGCAGAAGCCTTGCTTCCCCCGGGGAAAAAGAGTCGATCTTTAACTCAGTTCTCGAGATTCGCGAGGGCCGAAACTGTTTTTGCTATATGTGTACACGTCTATAATATACATCCAAGAACTACTACTATGGAAAACAGACCATTAACCATTACCAAAAAAACAGACCATTAACAAATGTTAAATCAAACAGCAAAGTTATAACTGAGTTCGCTATGGATTGGACAAAAGCCTAAAACTTGCACTCGGGGTATGTCTTTAAAGAGAAAGAAGGTTTACCCTTTTGCCTCTTGCATCTTACAAAGTTTTGGTCATCTTCTTCCACTTCGCCTTGAGGTCGGCCTGAGTTCGTTCTTCATGAAACACACTCTCACCAAACTTCAAAATATGGCTCCAGGGCATGTTCCTGTTGGCTGTTTTCGAGAATTTCTCTACACCAATCTGCAAGGGCAAAACATTATCCGTCATCCAGTGTTTTCACAAACCGTAAATCTAACTTAAAAAACACTACTTCTCTGTTTAGTTATCTCGAGCTTAATCTTGGAATGTACTGCAATTGCAACTGGAAAATATACATATGTAAGACATCTATCTATATATCCATCAAGAATAGAAGCTTAGATCCATTAGTGTGTTCTCCATAAACTGTGCCATGATCCGGATTTTAGATTGGGGCATCAAAGAAAGAAAAACTATATCGGAAGGCGAAAGTCGGGAAAGAAAAAAAATGAAATTCAATGCATGAATTCCATACCCTAAGCATCTCTTCTTCTTCAGGTGTCCAAACCAGCAGCTTACGCTTCCTGCCACTGCGAGTAACAGTATCCTTCCTGTAAATCAAAAGGGGTAAAAACAGTTCATATGCCTGATTAGTTTTCTCACGACTCGACCAATATACTGTCACAATCAATATTGATAGCAAATTATTCTAAATGAACTTTAACCTCTGTATGGGGGCACGACACTCGGTTGCACCCTCCTCCTCACATTGCTGGTTTTTCTCTGATTCCACACATTCATGACTTGATTCAACATCTCCACCTCTATTCTCACAAGGGTTAAGGCACATATTTACCCCAATCACATTCATGGTTTCCCCACCATCCCTACCCATCATTACAGCCATATCTACTGATAGGGAAGCAGTCTCTCTAACTATCACGCGCTTCTCAGCCGCCGTAAACTTCTCATGCACCTTCTCAACTAGCCACTTATAAGGGCAGCAAGAGTTCCCGAGTTCATCCAAACCGGACATACAACTGTGATGAACCGTTATGGGACACGGCGTTTCCTGACACACTAACACCTTATTGTCTTCTCCATCACGCACAACACAAGCATCAGGCCTTAACCGATCGACATTGTCCCCCAAAGTTGGACTCTTCTCTCGGCGACCATCATCTCCTCCATTGTTACCTTTCTCATGAGCTTCAGGGCCCTGGTGACGTGTCCTGTCATCTCCCTGGAAACCAGAGCCTCCATTAACGCCGTCCTGAGTTCAGTAACGACGAAAAGAGTTCATAATCGAGGAAACGCTCCCAAATTCACCGAAAGAATGGGGATTTCTCACATGGGCATTCATAAAGGCGACGTCTTTAAGAGTCAGAGTCACATTGTAATCTCTAATTTTTTTTTTCCCGGGAAACAAACAGAAAGCGCAAACGCAGAAGAGTTTACCGAATTGGATGGTTGGGGCGACATTCGGTTCCTAGGCCCGCTCACAACAGGTCTCCCTCGCGTCCCAGTCATGGCTTTGGAATAAAGAAACACAACCCGCGCTCTTCCCTCCTTCTCGGGTTCCTTTTCTTTTTCTGCCTTCGTATTAGGTTTAAGTTTCTTCATAGGGTTCTTCAAGAACAGGCTTCCTGTATTTACGGGATTTAGTTACAAAAAAAACTCTGATCAATACGAATTTGTTATAATATTTTTAAAAAACTAAAATTGAATCAAATATAAAGATATTTAAAAATCAATTTTTGATAAATTAATGTTTTTTTTATCAATAATAAAATCGCAACCTAAATAGTAAATACATTAAAAAAAAATGAATTGATAAAGTTTACAAAGATTAAAACCGAAAAAATCTAAATAAACCAAATACCCGCCCGCCTCCTCACTTTTACCATGAACTCCTTTCTTGTTTTATTTGTTATATTCAAAATATAACATATATGCGCGCGCGCGCACTATGAACACATTTTTGCATTGGGGAAGGGCTTTGATATAAACAAAATGCCCAAGGCCCAAGGTCTAAGGCCCAATTATCATATATCTCGTAGGCCCATACTTCTGTTTGGATTTATTATTTCTACCCGAAACCCTAACAATTCACGGATTCCGTCTCTGTTTGAGGTCTAGGGTTTACATCTGGGAGCCGCAGGAGAATTGGAAGAAGAAGCCAAATGGTAGTTTCTAATCTCATTTTTCAGCTTAGGTTTCTATCAGTTTTCCATGACTTCGTATATTCGGCTATCGTATCAGTGTGACTTCGTGTTCGTTGATTCGCTGTGTGACCTCGTCGGAGAATCCGACAGTTTCTGGTTTTTCTGGATTGTAGTTTTTCTGTGTTTTTGAAGATTTCGAAAAAAAAGACTGTAGAATGAGCTTCACCGGGTTTGAATGGTGAGCACCTTTCCGGGTTGGTCCCCAATTGTATGAGAATTGAGTGTTGATGGACACAATGCTGATTTCTTGGGCACCTTAAAAGAATTGAAAGTACCGATCTTACAACGCTCTCTGAATCTGTATCCAATTGATTGTTCTTTCGATTGTTTAATGGTTCTTTGGTATTCAGTTACTTGATTTACCACACAAAAATGTCGCTGTCTGAAGTATGCCTGACCATATTTACAGTTTAAATTTTGCTATTAGCAATGTAGGTTTTGAATAGATTTTATTCGTCATGTTTGTTATAGGCCCCGAAGAAAGGAGTAAAAGTGGCTGCCAAGAAGAAGCCGGTATGTGATCATTTCTTCTGGTATCTTTGAAGTTTGGGAAATTCCCATGTAAAATGATGAACTTCGTAAAAAAACCCACGAAAAAAATGAACTTTTAAATTCTATTGTCAGAACATGAACTTACACCTAATTCCCAAATAAAACATGGAGTCATCCCTAAATCTCAATTTTTTCCATATGGGCACTAGTTAAATTTGCTAAACTAACAAAATCATATTTTATCTGGTAATTTGGGACAACTTCTTTGATCTGTAACTAAATGTTCACATTTGTCTGGTACGTTTTAACAAGTTCGTGATTTTATATGGGGTTTCCCCTGTAAGTTATTATACCTAATTTCTAACTTGGTATATTTATTTTTAATTCCTGTGTTTTAGGAGAAAGTTACCAACCCCTTGTTTGAGAAGCGTCCCAAGCAGTTTGGTATTGGTGGGGCTTTGCCTCCCAAGAAAGATCTGTCCCGATACATCAAGTGGCCAAAGGCTATCCGCCTCCAAAGGCAGAAGCGTATCCTCAAGCAGAGGTTGAAGGTCCCACCGGCAGTGAATCAGTTTACCAAGACCCTCGACAAGAACCTTGGTAACTTTTTACCCCTGATCTGTTGTAGTGGTGACATTGTTCCTTCCATTTCGGCTTTACAATGTAAGAGATAGTTGGTATAATATTAAAAGTTGTAAAGGAGAGATAAACAGGCTATTGAAAGAGTCTTATGCTGCATCTTCTATGACTCTGATATTCCTCCTCTTTACCGGGAAGTCCTCTGGATTCTGTTCCCTTGTTATGCAGCTTTAGATAGTAAACGCTACTACCAGCTGTTTGGCTGGTTGTCACTCATTTTTTAATTGTGTGACATATGCTTTATTTGATGTTCCAGCAACTAGCCTCTTCAAGCTTCTTCTGAAGTATAGGCCCGAGGACAAGGCTGCCAAGAAGGAGCGGCTTCTCAAGAAAGCCCAGTCTGAGGCTGAAGGAAAACCAGTTGAATCAAAGAAGCCAATTGTTGTGAAGTATGGACTTAACCATGTGACATACCTCATTGAGCAGGTTTGCTTTACTTTACCATGGTTGACCCGTTAAACTTTGGTATAAGAAACTTATGATGGGAATTGTGAAGTTAATTTAGATCTTTGTTTATCTTGTTGCAGAACAAGGCACAGTTGGTTGTGATTGCTCATGATGTGGACCCAATTGAGTTGGTCGTCTGGTTGCCTGCTTTGTGCAGGAAAATGGAAGTTCCTTACTGCATTGTTAAGGGCAAATCACGCTTAGGAGCGGTAATTACGATATTTTCCTTAATGTATCCACTCATCATCCCCTTTTGACAAAACTCGGACATTATTATTATGTTTCCTCTGTTTGTTGTTTTTGCAGATTGTTCATAAGAAAACTGCGTCTTGCTTGTGTCTGACTACCGTGAAGAATGAGGACAAGTTGGAATTCAGCAAAATCCTCGAGGCAATCAAGGTAATAAGATATTCGATAATACTTTTCAACAGTTTCGGGAATTATAGAGACTTTATGATGTCTGAAGAAACGGGTTTTCCTTTGTTATTTGGCAGGCGAACTTCAACGACAAATATGATGAATACCGAAAGAAATGGGGTGGTGGCATCATGGGATCGAAATCGCAGGCCAAGACCAAGGCTAAGGAGAGGGTTCTTGCCAAGGAGGCTGCACAGAGGATGAGCTAGAGGAGGTACTTACCTGGTTGAGTTCTTGTTCTTTCTTCTGCGCCTGACTCGGCTTTTGTTTTTGGCCAATCTTTTAGCTTTTGAGTAATTGGTTGATGGTTTTGTTGTATTGGGATTTTGGAACACCCTTTCACTCTTTTGCTTATATTCTAAGAAAAAGAAAAAACCCCAAGCTCAAACATTTCAGTTGATCTGTTGTACGGAATATGTAATAATATATATCTACACGCGCGCGCGCATAAATAGGAAGAAGATCCAACTAATCTGTAAGCCGTATATATATATATATATATATGAAATTTGTTGTAAAAGAGATCCAAAAGTAACTGTCATTCTATACAAGTTCAATTTTTGTCAGGTCTCGATACAATATTGATGAAAAAACAGCAAATTAAATAAAGTTTTATGGATTTTAGAAATTAAAAACATGTTTGCCAATTTTAGGGCCTTTTTAGAGAGATTCGTCATTTCCCAAACTACTTGGCGTAGTTGAAAGGGTAAAAAGGGAATCTCAAACAGACGCGGGTTCACCCAAACGCAATCGCTCTAAATTCCAAACGCTCTGTTCCCCGAGACTTCGGTAGTTAATTCATGTACTCTAAGAACAGAACAGAACAAAGTTCAAGAATCAAGATGTACACAGCAGAAAGCACGGTTTTGCTGTAACAAGAAAAAAACAAAAAAAATTGGGAGATTTTGTAATAAAAAAAAAATCATAGGACATGGGTATGTATGTGATGTTACCCACGACAGAACAATTTTGAGATGTGTTCTTCTTGCTTCTATACTCTGAATGTCTGAACCTCTGTCCATGTATGTATCTGGATTCATCACTTGTACGGTGCAGAAGAAGTTTCCACCGTTCTTGCCAGAAAAAAAAACCTCTCCGATATACAATCTTCCTACTAACCTCACCATCAAACACCGAAAAGTAGCTGCATGACAAAGGAGCTCACCATAAGGACTGACCTTGAAACAAAGAGTGTAACAATGGCCGCTGAAAGGCTCGTCTACCTGTAATATACATCTGGTTAGCAACAAAACCCATCAACCAGAATCTAAACTCTGTATCATCCAAGAACATATTGGGGTTACCTTTAATGGATTTTGATAGATTCAGGGAGCAGCATCGGTTCAATGACCACCAATGGCAATGATATTGCCATAAGATCCTCTAAATTGCGATGATCAAAAACTGGATAGACGTGGAGAAATTGTTGTAAATGATGCATCCTATTACTATAAATAGGGAAGGCAGGTGGGGAATTATATCGTTCTTGTACTACTTTTCGTCCTTTTCTCTTGGTTTCTTTCTGATTGTGCCTTTTCCATTAGGGGGGCAATTAAGCTATCCAATCTCACCAGCCACAGAGCTGCGGCAGATGATGTTTGAGGAATAGAAGGGAAGCAAGTTATTATCTCTTCCATCATCACAGAGTTGGAATGCCCATCATCATCAGACTGCCATAACCAATCTCCATTTATGGCACCGACAAAATTGGCAGTTACCTTAAAAAAAAAGCATCATTTTTTTATGTCTTAGCATTTAGCATGGAAGCTGCTTTTAGACAATGATTGATGTGAAAGAAAGGACCTACAAAAAAACTTTATATCATGAAATGGGTACCTGCAAAAGCTCAGAAACAGTTGAGGTTCGTCGAAGTCTTTTGACCCATAACCTACGGGCTGACTTTCTCCATGCACCAATCAAGGCTTCTTCAGGCATAGCAGACTGTGAAAGTATAACTTTTAGAAAATGATAAAAGGGAATTACTAAATTATGCACAATAAATGACAATGAAACGAGAAATGCCTAACCTCAATTGCATGCACTGCTGCTTTTAGTGATTGTAACTGCGAAGGTAAAACCTTAAGCTCAGGAAATGCATCATCGTCCCCTTTCTTCCTGCATGTAGCCGCATGAACGGCATATCTTTCTTCAAGACCGACATCAAGCTCAAACGTAGCATGGCAAATCCTACAATGCTTCTCGTCTCTCCAATACAAATCATGACAAATCTTACACCTAGTAAGTGAATCAAGATAGGATCTTCTACCATGTTTTACGGCATTGAGATTAGAATAAAAGTTAGCCCATATCCAGTCATCAAACTCTTGAAGACGGGTCCACCTCAGCTTCTGCTCTCTCTTTCTTCCGACCTCAAAAATAATAGCCCCATGAGGAGAAGACAAATGATTATTCGCAATCTCAGTCGAACATAGATTGTTGTCTATATCTGAAACCGGTGAATAACTATCCTCTCTAACAACATCTGTAAAACTTGATGTGTCTGATTGAGTCATGTGTCTATTCGACATTGCTTGACAAAGAAAAGTTTCTCGTTTCTCCAGTGACTCGATAAGACAAGCTTCCCGTGTGCCTCTGTCATCCAAAACTGACAACAGTGCATGCAAAGCCTGAGCCAAGAAAATCAAAGATGGAACACAATCAGACAACCTTTGGCACACGTTAAATTAGATAATGGAAAAGGAGTTTTCAGGAAGAGCAATGGAAAATATTACCTCCTCATTGTCAATAACTTTCCAGTGACCATCTTCTGAAGATTCAAAGTACACACTCCTATGGCCAGGGTCATTTGTGTTGCATGGGCCTAAGAAAAGCCAGTACCTATTGAATCTGCGATCAGAACCCAGATATACAGTTCGCACAGGAAGATCGTAAGCTTCATCTCCACTCTGTTTAGCAGAGACCCCAACAACTGATGAAGAATCAACTATACGAGAATCGGAAGTAGATGCTCCTTTAGAACTATGAAGTTTCCCTCCATGGACCCAAGATGTGAGTGGATAGTTATGCTGATTTGATGAGGATCTCTTAATTTTTCCACCAGAACCTTGCGTATAGATACTAGGGACACAATCATCACTAGGTTTCGCTAGCTCCTGTTATGTAAAAATCGTCAATATCTTTAGTACAAGTAGAGTTTCATTATCAGAGAACAAAGGTAAATAACGTTAACATTTCAAACTCATTTATGAGACAGCAGACTTCCTTAGTCACGTAGCTAAACCTAATGAAATGGATGTAAACAGGTTTGCCTCCTAATGGTGTAACTAGTGGTGGAAAGATGGACTCTCTAGGTTTTGTACTTCAATAAAATCAGTTGTTCAAGAGAGAACCAAATTAATGTCGAGATAATATGCAGATTACCTCCATTCTGACAGTGGAACCAGAACTAAGTAAATCAATCAGAGCCACCAAAATATCCAACTTCTCCTCAATGCTTAGATCTGAATACTCCCCTTCCATCAAGCCTAACAGCCATGGTTCTCCAGGATGGCTTTCATCAATCTCAGTACATACATCCAATCTTTTACTTTTACGCTTCTGCCTGCTCCTACTCCGAACTTTGCTAAGCGCAAGATTTTCTGAAACACACTCAGAATCATCACTAGAACTAGAAGAGCAGTCATCCTCAGGTTCATCATCAACACTTCCAGAGTCACCAGAATCAGACTGGCCCTTTTCTGGATCCTCAGAGAAACAACTAACACGCAAACGGTATGTTGAATCAGAAATCTTTTCAAACAAAGTAATATCACTTGCTAGAGTTGCAGATATTGATCGCTCCACGTCCTCTGATGAAGTTGCAAGATTCAGCTGAGCAACCTTCAATGCCGAAAATGTAACACCATTCACATAATTGTACAACGTCAGCTGTTTCATTAGATATCACCTAAGAAATTAAGTATTACATGTATTCTACGATTAGAAATTCAATTTCAAAGGCTCACCTTGGCAGAATTGGCAAGGTCGGAGACTTTCAAACCATTACTACCTTGTTCATAAAGCATTCTGAACAATTCGCACTTTAAGGTTCCAAGATGAAGACCATACTTTAACATGAGTCTCCTCTCCTAGTGCGATAAAAGTAAGTTTTCATGAAGCTCATATTTCATAAGTGTATTGTGACAGAAAGTAAACATCTTAAGAATCTCAGCAGATGGAACACAAATAACTAAAAAAACACTTGAAGAAAGAGCCTTCACTGTTCTGTTCTGTAACTAATCCAACTTGTAATTGAAAGTTTCTAATACCAGATGCCATGCAAACTACAGGACAGGGAATTGCAGAAGATTTCGAATAAAAGATAACCAAACAGGTCAGAAAAATCAGCACCTTACTTAGTTCTTCTCTTCGAACAGGACCCTTTGCTGAACCAAAACCAGCAGCGACCAATATTTGACGCAGTATCTCAATCCATGTTAGAGGATTCAGTGAATCCTTCCACAAATTGAAAATAAGAATTTGGCTTTCAACCTGAAAAAACAAAGGAGAAATGGTAAGCCCTACAAAATGGTGCTCCTCATCTATACTTCTGATGATGAATAAAGCTGGAAAAGGAAGTGCAAAGAAGCAGAGGCCACTAAGACACCAAGTATTAACCACAGATAAATGGTTAATCTTGAGATCCAAGAAAAATAGCAATAACATTTTTAAACATAGCCAGCCATTAGTACATACCGAATGAAGCAACGCTAAGAACTTGCATGATATACTTAAGTTTGTGAATATTCCCCTTTGCAGCTCAGTTTCAAGATCAAGCAGAAGCAACTTTAGAAGGGAAAGATGAATTTTTCCAAGTAGCAGAGAGTCCTGAGGTAAAAAGACAAGCGCCACAAGAGAAGAAACAAACATACACTATTATGTCCCAAGTATTGAGAGAGAGAGAGAGAGAGAGAGAGAGAGAGAGAGAGAGAGAGAGAGAGAGAGAGAGGGGATACAGGAAACGATTGTCTTCCATAATGGTTATGGTAAAGTCAACCACTTCTATCACTGAATTAAGAGAGATCACCTTATCATGGAATGCCTTCGCAAGCTCTTCAAGAGAGAAGGAACACATGTCCAGAGTTACTGAGTAGGTAAAAAGGAAATGGAGGACCTGCCAAGAGAAGCACCAAAATGAAACTTCCAGGCAAATTGAGAAAGGTGATAGTTAATTTAAGAACACAACAAAAAGCACCAAGACCTAACTTCTATAGCTTCCGTACCTTAAATAGTTTTTTCACAGACTCTGCAGTAGAATCCCATGGATGCACACCAAATGGCAGCTTCATCTTAACAGAATTCGGGGGAAACTGAGGCAGCAAATCTGGCAATAACAACAAAATGCTTATAGAGAGCCACAACATCTGTCACGTACACAACACACTCGAACGGAATTAAAATCTTTAAGGATGATCCAAGTCAAATCGAAATACCAACCTTTGCAAAGAAAACAACCATGAAGACCACTGCTAGGATGATGGCCCGAACATGACACTGGATTTGGTCCTGTCTGTAGCTCCCTCATTTCCAACTCTTCGTCATCCACTAGTACAATTTTTTTTCGGTTATCTTCAGATACCTCCTCATATAGGGCAAGTTCACACTTCTCTTTGCATTCTATTCGGGTTTCATCTTTTCCGAGTTCCACCTGCAGCAAGTTCCATATTTGTTGCTCGAATTGGATGATACAACTAAATCACAGAGTAGAGTATAAAACAAAGATTCAGTTACCTCTCTATTCATAGAATGTTTCTTCTTTTCCCTTGACCTCTTCTGCAACATTTTCTGCTTCTGACAAAAGCAATTGCTTTTAGGGGAAATTTAAAAATACCAACAAAACAAAAGGACCAAACAAAAAAGATAAAAAGAAAATAATTTTACCAGTATTGATGCTAGCTGCCTTTGTGTTTTCTTCTGAGGTCGGGAATTACGTGATGAGCTTCGGGGCAATGCTATTCCTTCCCCAGTTAAATCAATTCCAGGAGGAAATAACCCGCAAGTTGGATTTGTCGCTCGCCATACTGTCATCAAACCCTTGCCCATACCATGTTTCGTCTGTGCAGCATTCTCCTCAATGCAATCCCGATTAATCAGCTCAGAAATCTAAAGCAAAATCAGAGACAGAAGAGAAGTAAATTACCATATCTAAAAGGAAAATGTTTTATGCAGCTACTGCAGAAGAATTATCTAATACCTTTCTCTTTCTTGCCACTCTTTGTTTCTGCTGATCAGCTGAAACAAGCCACGAAGCTAACAAGGAAAAAGAAACCCAGGTAACAACCTCATTAAATATCTTCGAGTTTTTATGTCGTGCAAATATAATGTTAAGAAAATAATGCAGAGTCGAATTATGATAAAATTAAGGATTTTGTTCAGATAAAAGTTGAACGAAAATTAAATCATGGGTTTGTAGAGGCAAATTCCAGAAACCCAAACCCTATTTATAGGTTATAATCTTTAGCAGATTAGCTAGCAAAAAACGAAAAAAGTATATACCTTTACGTATTCGAGAAGGGAGAGAATCGAATTCAACACCAAGGGGTGGACCATCCTTGCGGAAAATCTTAGCCAAAATGTACTGTGGAGCCAACAACTCTTGAACACTTGCCTTCTTTTTTCCGGCATTAGATCTCTTCTCAACAACAGATGATCCACAGGTGCATTTGGACAACATTGGACTACTCATATTTGATATATTATATGACCCAGGATTCTTTCTTTTCTTTGATCTCTCTACAGCTGAAGCTAAAGGCATAATACATCCGGCTTTCCCCCTGTCTCTTCTTCTCTTCTCGATGAACCATCCACTAACTTCTTTCACTGTTAACCCCAGAGACTTACTATATTCCTTCATTTCTTTAGTTGTGGGATATTTTTGCTCTGATTTCACATAAAATAACAACTATTCTAAGTCAAAGGAAAAGGTAAAGCATATACTCGATATTGGAGAAGCAAGAATACAATAAGCCAACACAAAAATAGTCATTCTAAAGACCACATCTCCACTGACTTGAAAGATGTAATAAAAAATCAAAGGGATGAGTTGGATCAAAAGATCTAGATAAGCACTACACCGCCACAATTGAATCTGCAATCTCATGTCACCTGCTATATGATATCAAAAAGAATTTATGTACCCGAGAGCTTGAAGCTGCACGGGTGATTCCTTCATTTCCACAGTTCTATCACTCTCCCAATCGGATAAGCTTCAAGACTCCGTCTTTCAGCGAATCAAAGCCAAATCTCTCGTGAGGATGATAGTCAAAGCCCTGACAGGCATGCTGCAAAACCCAGGAAAAGCAAAATTCAAATGTGCCCTTCAGAAAACTAAAAGAATAATCAGAAAACAGAGAGCGATCACGCTCCACAGGAAGCTATCAGAACCATAGTTGATCATTTAAACTACTACTTCAGTACAGTAACCGAAGTTCCCGGATATGAATTAAGACAGAGAATTAACTACACTCGCATCGCATCATTCAACACAAGTTGGACGGCAACAAGAACACTGAACATGAAAATAACTTTCTATTCGCCACCACATGAAATACTGAGACCATAATCTGAAAACATTAGAGACACTGACGAAATGGAGAAAACCCACAGTACTGATAGAATTAGAACCAAAGACCGAAGAAATCACAAACCCATTAGAATTCAATTAAGCAAAAACCAGTTTCAGAAACAAAAAAAATGGTAGAGAAACACGAGATGATGATAGTTCGGCTGTGATGGCTGGCTAAGAATTGCCACAATACTAAACCCAGTAAATCAGAAGCAAAAAGCGATGGGTATAGAGATAAACTTACAGAGAGGCAATGGATGACGAGAGGTTAAAGAAGAAGAAGACGAAGGAAATGGTTGAAGAAGAAGAGACAGATTTCAGAGAGTGTATAGGGTCTTGGGTTTTTATTATCAACACACCTTTCTGCCTCTTCCCCTGGGGTTTTACGGATATTTTTCTAATTTTTTCTTCTTTTTTTTCCCCACTTTTCTCAGAAATAAAAATATCCTTATTCTCCAATTTTTGTTTTCCCGTTTTGCCCTTCGGGGCGGTGTGGCTCCTTAGGGTTTCTGGAACACCACCACTACTCAGCCGGTTTAATCCGGTTTAATACTCTGGTTAAAACGTTTATATAATTAAACCGTCTTAACCGGACTTTTCTTTTTTTTTTTTTTGGGGGGGGGGAGCAGTCAAAGAATTAAGCCAACCAAATGCTAGACTGGGGAAAACAACTGTTCGATAATGAGCCGGTATTTTTTTATATAACCGCTCTAATTAGCGTGATATATAACATTAAGTCCGTAACTCCAGTCTTGTCTTGTCCGTGTTTCCAAAGTACATGATCAAACACAGCCAGTGCTTTGGTTCTGCATCCAAATCATGCCCTTACAGACGTCATTTTACATGTATGTATGTATGTATGTATGTATGTATGTAATATAGTACAAAACTGAAAAAGAATATATATCATATATGCATTTGTATAAATGGACACCAACAATACACAGCTCAAGTACTGCCTTTGGTACACACATACAGAGAAATCAACATCAAAACATATTCCATCCATGCTCTCTAAAATGGCAGGGAAGATCAAAACAAAATGGATGAGAAGATGCATTGAAAACTCTTTAAACCAAAAACACCCAATTGGATGAGAGAATACATACCTTGCATCTGACTTACTCTCCGTCGGAACAAAGATGATGAGATCTATAGCGAGAGATGTGTATCGTTGGCTCGTGCAGTTCCGAATCCCACGCCAAAGCAGAAACAACACTAGACTCCCGGATTTTCAGGACAGCTCTTCGAGTTGAACTTGTTCCACGCTTCCTGTGTTCGGGTCGCAGAAGAGGCGGAAGAGAAATTGAAAAAAAAAGGGTTGCTTACACAGTAATGCAGTCTAAACTACAGAACAGCTTGTATAAATTTGGTAACCTCAACAAACCGGACCAAATCCTCTTTGATTCGAAGACGAAGCACATAACAAGCGTTCGTTATGTTATACTCGTTCCCCTCTCGAAAAACCCTAGTGACCATTAGTTTCTCGTTAGGTTAAAATGCCCTATACCCCACCCCCCAGAAACTTCAGAAGTTATGTGATCAAGTAAGAAAGCAAGCCCGCATTGTCAGCTCTCTTCTTCGGAAGGCTGTAAAGCTCGGCTCTTCATGCCAAACTTTTTGTAACTCGAAACATGGGAGTCAGAAGAGTCGAAACCGCACAGCGTTGGAGCAGCTCGGTATCCATATCCAATCAGAACGCCGCATTTACGGCATAGGAGCTTTGTTTTCAAACTATACCGGCCCCAAGGGATGCGGAAACAGTTTATCTCGTCGACTTGTGTGAAGCGGCTCAAATCAATCGAAGCAAACGAGATGAAACCCTTCTTGGAAGACTTGCCACCGCCATGACGAGATGCCATACAATTTGAAGCCTCTAAATTCAAAGGGTACCCGCAAGACCCGCAACTGCAAGATTGAAGGAAAGTTTGATCCAAAGGGGATTAAGAATGAGAAAGTGCCCTTTTCCTTGGGTCACCCGTAAACACAGTTGAAGATAGGAGACTTCATTAGCAAGCAAACAGAAGGCGGAAAACGCTAAAAATAAGGAGACTTTAGACGCAGTCTGCAACCGACCAAAGATTCGAACTTCATACTCTCTATCAAGAAGTCAATTAACGTTCTGTAAACCCTCCTAAGGCTTAGTCAAAGACCAAAACCAAATCTTTTGGTTCCCTGAACAATGATGAGCGTAGAATTCAAAGTGCATTGAACACTAAAACACAGTAATGATGAGGTTTGATCACAAAGTTCTCAAATTTGATCAATGAAGCAGAAAAAGCTTTCACCTTTTTCCGATTCTTCCGCTTAATTCTCAGCAAATTCACCGAAACAAAGAATACCCAGAAAGAGATTTACAGAAAAAACGATGGATTTTTCTTCGATGGCGTATTCACACCAAGAAATCGTCAAAGCGAGAAACAAACCGAACAAACCCAGATAACCCCTTTGACCAAAACCCCAAAATCGCAAACCCATTGACTCGAAAACCAGAAATACGATTAAAAGAGGGTTGGGAACTTTCAGTTACCTGTACGATACGGCGGCTTCGGACATGATCGTGGGCAATCAGAGAAATCCTTCTGATTCAGACAATCACCTGCAGTTTCTCCCTTTGAAATTCGTAACCGGGAAGCTGCAGCAGTTCTGTCTCTGCGACTGTTCCTCGTTTATAAGATTTTTTTTATAAATATAAATTGGCCAATTGGATCTATGGCTTTTTGCGATCGGTGACCCCAACACAACACAACACCAACCTCTGTTTTTTTCTTCTGGGAATTATTTTTTTGTTGTCTTTTTCGAGTTTGGAAGAGCTGTTTTTTTTTTCTCCCTGTTTTTCCCTCTGCGACTTTCGAACGGAGTTTTGGAATTATTCTGTTTTTTTTTTCCCTTCTCATGGTGGGAGATGTCAATGCCACGTGTGCAAAGACCAAGTAATAATCACAGAAAAACCTTTAAAGAAAATCTATTATTGCATTATACAGTTTTTACCAATGATTTCAATAATTTAATATAGAAACTAAGAGTAGTCAAAGGTGGCTTTAGTAAGAAACAAAAAAAAATATTTTCTAAAGAAAAGAGTGAATTTTGTCTCACCTTACCTTTTTTTTTCCTCGGAAAAGAAAGAATCTAAAGGCAAAAATTTGGAATCTAATATGTATGTAGTGAGATTCGGCCAATTGTTTTGACCTTGAATTTAATTGGTTGTGGTTAGCTGCTTGGATTCAAGTTTTCTAAATTATATCTATTTGCATTCCTAAGTTTAGTTTTATTAGAAAATTTAATTTTTTAAATAGATTTATAGTTTAATTTTTTTTTTGTTTTCTATACGTCGATTCATTTAGCTTAAATAAAACTATATGCAATCGATCGAATTCAATTCAATTATATTATGTGATTCATTTAAATCTAGTTTTACCGAAAAGTCTCGGAAGTTTATTTGATTTTGACAAGCCACACAAAGGGCTTTTGACTTTTGTTATTTCACTTCAATTTTTAATATTTTAAATAAAATTAAGTGATATTTTTTGAATAGTTCTTATTATTGATTTTTTTGTTGCCTTTATATAAATATTGTTCAGTTACCTTACCTCATACATATGAATATTGTTTGAATACCCAAAAAATGATTTTTCTTTTAAAGTAAGTGTTTTTAAAAATATTTAAACCCTAAATACAAAAAGCTTAGATATTTATTTTGGTCAAAATGGCATACAAAAACGATCCCCTAAAATATTTTTCCCTTGATTCAATAATATTTTGTAAACTAATAGGTTGGAAAAAGATTGATGATGAGTCAGTCTAAAACCCATTAGGTCTAAGCCCAAAGGCCCAAATCCAACGTTAATTCCGACAAATCTCAGCCGTTGAAACCTCTTCAATTAAAATGAATCCTGGCCGTTGATTTGAAACCCTAGGTTTTTTGTATATTAGACCTCTGTTTCGTCTCCTCGCCTCTCCACTTCTCGTCGTGGCCGCTTACGCAAAGAACCAATGGTAAGCTCTCAGTCGTCCTTCGTACTCGGCTATGTATTTTTCCTTAATTTTCCTCTCAATTTCTATGCGGACAAGCTGCATTTGATGTTCATTTCATGTAAATTTTTTTCGCTTCAACTTTTTTGTGATCTTCTGTTCGTCGTGTGCAGTAGTTGAGTAATTATTCCGATGCCTTTTTTTTTTTGGCGTTTGTGATGTTTAATTTGCTTGGTGATACGATATTATCAGGAGAGTCAAGTACGAGTTGTTGGTTCATGAATCTTCAAACGTTTTCTGGCTTTCCCCCCGTTAGAATGTCCTTGAGATAGGGAAAAATCGCATCTTAATGATGATTTATCCAGATTTTGTTGTTTATAGAGAATATAGCCGAGTTACTACTTATACACTCAAATCCTCATCACGTATGCCTGCGTAAAATATGTCAATTTTATCATCTGGCTTTCGTTTCGTTTAGGGAAAACGATTGAAGGATATGAGACTTCTGTTCGGGTTTTCATGTTCAGTTGCTTGCATTGCCTTAAATCTTTGTGCTTTTGTTTTTTTAATCACAAGCTTATGTTGTGGAACGATTCCTATTTCAGGCGTTTGTGAAGGCCCATAAGTCCAGGGCTTATTTCAAGAGGTATCAAGTTAAATACAAGAGGAGACGAGGTGTGATACGTTCATATCCTTTCCTTTGATGCTTCGTTTCCCCAGTGTTCTGGCCCTTATGCAATGTGGTAATGTCTTTTGTATTGTGTAGATGGCAAGACTGATTACCGGGCAAGGATCCGCCTAATCAACCAAGACAAGAACAAGTACAACACTCCGAAGTATCGGTTTGTTGTTAGATTCGTATCCTTTTTCCAAAGCATATTCAGTGCTATTGATTCAATTTATTATTTTGGTTAAGATGTTGCAACTTGGTATAATCTAATCTAAATCGAGATGTAATAATCTGGTTGAAGGGATTGTCATATCTGCTTCAACATTGCTTTTACTGGGAATCTGTCACTGTTTTATTGTGTAGTTTCTAATGTATTTGAGGAATTGGATTCATGGTCACCTTGACTTAATCTTAAAGACAAACAAAGACATTGTTGCCCAAATTGTGTCTGCAACCATCGCTGGCGATGTTGTTCTTACTGCTGCTTATTCACATGAGCTACCTCGTTATGGGCTAGAAATTGGTCTTACCAATTATGCAGCAGGTATTTGATCAAACTTCTGTTTCAAGCTCTCAACATTTTTCATGTCATTTTTTTGTTGTTGGGTTTGCTAAAAACATTTTTGGTTGAACCAGCTTACTGCACTGGCCTTCTCTTGGCTCGCCGTGTCCTTAAGATGCTGGAAATGGATTCCGAGTATGAAGGCAATGTCGAGGTATGTGCTTGTATGAAATTTCTTTGGTGAAGGGAAGCACCTTCTACTTTCATATTTGGCTGAAAAGATTCAACCTTGAATTAATTTTCATTAGGCAACTGGAGAGGATTTCTCCGTGGAGCCAACTGATACCAGGAGACCCTTCCGTGCTCTTCTCGATGTCGGACTTGTGAGGACCACAACTGGAAATCGAGTCTTTGGTGCTCTCAAGGTATATATATATAGTTAATGTTCTCTGATTTTAAGCATCAAATAAAGTAAATACTGTAAAATGCTAACCTTGAACTCTTCTTGAATCTGTAGGGTGCTTTGGACGGAGGACTTGACATCCCCCACAGTGACAAGAGATTTGCGGGTTTCAACAAAGAAAGCAAACAATTAGACGCTGAAACCCACCGAAACTACATCTTTGGTGGCCATGTTGCAAATTACATGAAGGTAATGTTCTCTAAGATGTTTTTGCGAGAAATAAATTCTGAGTTTCCAAAACTGCTAAAGATAACCTCTCACATGCTTGTGTGTGTGCGCGCACTCACACAGCTCTTGAATGATGATGAGCCGGAGAAATACCAAACTCACTTCAGTGAGTACCTTAAGAAAGGAATGGATGCCGATAACCTCGAGGCGCTGTACAAAAAGGTACACACAGCTATTCGTGCAGACCCGACCTTGAAGAAATCCGAGAAGCCTGCTCCCACAGAGCACAAGAGGTAAAGAAACCGATTAATCTTGTCTGTGCTCGAAGAGTCTCTACGTATGTGTTGTGTTACTAATAATTGGGTTGGCGAATTGGATTGAGCAGGTACAACTTGAAGAAGCTCACTTACGAGGAGAGGAAGGAGAGATTGATTGAGAGATTGAAGGCGTTGAACTCTGGAGCAGGAGGGGCTGGTGACGACGATGATGATGATGACGATGACGAGTAAATCGGCAAAACCATCATCTCTTTGCTTTCAGTTTGTAGTTTTTCGTCTCAAGAATCATGCACAAGTTTTCCCATTTCAGACATGAACCGCCCTCTTTTTTTATAGTATTGTTGCTTCACATTTTGTCTTAGGAAGGATGATTATATATGATTGAGACGTTATGCTGTTACGGTTTCAGTTCGCCATTGCCATGTTTTGACCAAGATTTTTTTTCTGCATTCTATATCTGCCCTTGCTCTGCTCCAATGGCGATTTACAGTGTCATGTATGTTGTCAAAGTGATTGGTATGTCTGGAACATGTTTGTCATCCAAGAGATTGGGATATTTCATGTCTGAATTCAACACCAAGTACCCAAATTTTATATTTCAGATCGCATGTGAAATCTGGCCCCAAACACATCAGAATCGTATAGACGACAAAAAAGATCGAGAATTTACAAGACTTAGTTCTGAGTTTTGCCAAAATTCTGAATCAAAATGCCACAAACAGAGCGCCTATACTGTCATTTCTGCACATTCATTAGGGTTTCTCCTTTCTCGGAGGGGAATTATCAGTAGAGTTACAAAACAAAGCCGATGATGTCTGGAAAAAGCCTAAAACAGTTAACGAAGAAAGCACGACCTCATGAGCCCTCAAAAGGCTACTGTTATTATTGATCTCTGTCGTCATCCTCGCCATAATCTTCATCGAAATCTTTAACCTTTACATCCGCGTCTTCTCCGAACTGGATGCAGTTATCGATTTGCGCCAGTACGTATTTTATGCTGCCCCGGGAAAAAAGCAAAGCAATACGATCCGTGTTATTCTTCCGACGGAGTCAGGATATCGAATGATCACTGAAGGTTTCGAAGCACGAGAGAGAGTCCGGTTACCTTTGCTCTTTCCTCAAGTCGAGCGGTATGAAACTCACCATGCTATACTCTTCCACCTACAACACCCGGATACAACAGAAGAAAGGAAAAAACGAAAAACTTGAATCGTTAGGTATGTACACTGAGGAATGGTAAATTCACGACATAAATATTATTCCATGTTTTGTTGCCAAGAAATACGAAATCAAAATCGGTTAAAATGCAGTTTCAGCATATCTTGGTATACAAACCTTAGAGACTAATAAAGTTTCAAGTGGCTAATAACATTGTACATCCTTCTTAAGGGAAATGTCGGTTAAGGACATACGTAAACAGGAAAAAAAGAGTGTTTTCTAGCAATTTGATCATTAAAGCATATGCCAATATTGAGAGGAAGACGATCAAATAAAAGATTGTTCAATGACGTGAAGGAACTATTGCATACCATTTCAATCAAAGCTTTGTTCAGTTTTGCAAATTGAGGAGCCATCCGTTGGTTTAACTCCGCCAACAATGTCCGGGGCTCTGGATCCAAGTAGCTAAATCCCCGAAGAACTCGAGCAAATTAGAAACTTTGAAACCGAAAAAAAAAAAATTAACGGGTAAGAAATGAGAAGAAAAGAGAAAATCTCGAAGAAGACTCACTCCTCGATGTCTCTTTTGTCTTTAAGGAGATCCATCTTGGAGAGGATATTGACATGAGGCAGTTCGAGTTGGATCATTGCGGAAAGAGAGGCCATACAACCGCTTATGAACTTCGTCACATCTGTCACAAACTGATCCAAGCAGAGCTCTTCATTAGTGCAAAATGGTTTATGGAAACTAAAATTGAGTGAAAAAAATAAATAAAATTTTGTACAAACCTGTGAATCAAGCAAGTAAACAGCACAAACATTGAAGTTCTTCTGCTTCAAATGCTCCACAAAGTTCTTGAGGACAGGCACATGGGTAAAAAGCTCTATCTGGCCTATGACCAATTACGAAAACCATAAGACTTCGGAATAAAATCGAGCCGGGATTCTGGAATGCCCAGAATTCATTTCTAAACCATGTAAACCAACAAAAAAGAGTAAGTGTTAAATAAAAACCTAAAACAAAGGCCAGAGGAAACACACCCTTTCAAAGTTTGGAAGACATATAAACACATAAACAAAATATATAAATCATACATATATATGAGGTATATGATATAGGATGTCCTCATAGAGCATGTAAGTTACATAAGAGTCACCTGGACAATCGAAAACTAAGTAATCATCATCCCTGTAGTTCTCCAATTCTTCATCCAGCCAATCATGTAGGCTGTCCTCAAGATACCTAAGAATTAAGGTCAAGGCTCTTCCTTTTCCATCCAAAGGGTTTCTTTACGAGCGATGTCAAATACTGGGCACAAAAAAGATCAAAGGGTCTTTTGTACGAAGAACAATGATAAATCCACAAATGACGACTCATAAAAAAAAGGATACTCCATGCAGTACATAAGTCCACCATTGGGGCCAAGCCCTAGTTCCTCCATGACATCTTCCAAAGAAACGAGTTCTCGAATATCTGCAAACGTTTCAGTGAAGCTAAACCCAATAGAACAAAGTGAAAGATACTGTGTTATGCAAAACCAACAAGCTCAGAAGCAAACAACTCACCCATGGCCACAGGATAATTAAAGACCTCGGCAGCAGGATCCAGGTTAACGATATGCATCATCCTCCCCACGGTTTCACAGTGTTGGTACAAGGAAGAGCAATACGTTGACTGGTTTTCAAAACGAGAATTCCTCAGCCAAAGATCTGTAATTGAACTTCTACACAAAGAAAATGCCAAGGGAAACATTTCGATAAAAACAAACCTTTCCACTGCCCGCAGGCCCGATAACGAGCTGAGCATAACCCATGGTAGAGAGCTCGAGAGAAAATGCTTATTTCCCGACACAAACTCAGATGGAACAGATGGAGTTAAGGACCCTAAAAGAGGCAAGGACCGCAACAGTTACGTAAGCAGTGCACCAAACGCCCAAAGAGAACAATGATCTCAAGATGTTAGAGGAACCCATAAACCGGTAGACAGCAACAACAACATTGCAACACCTGAATTACCATTACCAGAGACAAGAAACAGAGAAAGCGGAACATCAAAATCTCGTACTGGGTTAATTAAACCTTAAACATCAAAAGAAATCAATTGGTGAATTTCAATGTAACATCGCATCACAGAACAATAATTTTGATCGTTAAACAATAAGCCCCTTCAATTATAATGGCACGAGTTAGGGTTTAAAGTCGGCTAAGCCCATGATCATACTAAATAGGTAAAGAGAAAACCTAAACCCAGAGAAAAAGATGACAAACAAGGGTAAATTGTCTGCGCCCAAACGTTGAATTTGAAGTTGAAAAATCTAAAAGCGCCGAAAAAAAGTTTCAGGCTTGAAGGGAAAGGATGACAGAAGTAGAAAATGATCGGAAACCCAGTAGCAGAAAACCCGACCTCAGAAATCAGAAGCAGAAAATTCAAGATGATCAAAACAAGTTCACCTCTTGTCGGCTTCTTTTTTTCCTTTCGCTCTTGAGATTTTTTTTTTTTTTTTTTTGGAAATGAACCGCAAAGAAGAGAGAGAGAGAGAGAGAGAGAGAGAGAGAGAGAGAGAGGGGGGCTATTTGATCAATCAAAGCGACGAAGTAGAGTTCCCGCTTGGGTTTTGGTTAGGGTTGCTTGCTTGTCATGTAACGACGCCGTTTTCGCATATGAAAAGAAAATTTCCTCATCCTTTTTTTTCTTCTTTCTAATCTCTCCCTCTATCCCTAGGTTACTGTTAATAAAAAGATATATTATATTTTTCGTACAACCAAACTGTTTTTTCATTTTTTATCCTATTCTAATCGTTTTTATTATGGTAAAAACAAATTAAATAATTGTTTAATACGTTAAAATTAACATAGATTTCGATTTATTATTAATAGATGATAGAACAAATCATATTTGTGTTCCATGATATCACATTAGGCATGTGTAGTGGTGATTATAAAACTACAATATAAGAGTAATTAATTATGTTTAATTAATTTACAACGGACCTTTATGGATGTGTCAGAGGTTCTTCTACGAACTTCCAGTTCCAGACAAGGCAGTCTCGGTTTGCCGTGAATAAACAAATGAGAGTCATAAAATAAATAATAATTTTTCAGCCCAATATATTTTTTTCAATTGGTTCAGAAGCAGGAAATTACTGTAATATCAGATTATAAAGAGTGGTAAAGGTAGGCACATGCAATTGTTATTTTAAAAAATAACGATTGTGCCACTGATGATAGAGATCTTGGTGATTACAAAAAAAAAAAAAAAAAAAAAGAGATCCATCTTTATAATGGAAAGCTTTCTTTTTTGAATCACTACGCAAAATCTGCATTAATGCAATTTCCTTTTAAAACGTCATCGTTCTTTCGAGTTTTTTCGATAGAAACATTTGAGTTATTTGAATCTCTCTAATATTTGAATATATCTATAAACGAATAATTTATGGTTAGATATTTTGGATTTTGATTTTATAAATTTTTATTGGAATGTATATCAGTTTTTATTTCTAACGTAAATTTAACTTTTATTTGATTTTTTTAATGTTTTGATGTGTTTCAGATTAGTCAATTTTTTTAAATATTCAATCAAATTCAAAATTTAATTCAATTTATTTCGATTAGCTTTCTAAGTAGTAGTATACAGTCGTAATCAAATTAATTTAATCTGATTTTCCTTTTCAGTATGTGTATACACTCAGTGTCCAATTATATACATGAAACTTGGATTTATTTTTAATTTAAAATATCATAACCCCATTTTTGTAATGGCACTAAGCGTATCTAGAACTGTGCCCTTTTTGTATTAAAAATTAAAAGTATATATCAAAATTTTCTCGAGTGTCGGTGGGTGGCTCGTGCACACTATTTCTTGCACGTGACCAATTATGTAGTATTCACTATTTCATGTGGTCGATTTTGTAACATTTTTTAACCTGGTTTTATTTTCTATTTATTTTTACGTGTTTGCCAATATTTATAATACATCATGTCGGTTAATATTCATAAAAAAAAGGGTGGCTATATATATACACATATATAATAGTTTGCCTGCAACAAATTACATTATACTACTTATATTTAGTCCTATTTGAATGTTATTTTTTTTGTTAAAGAATTTGAATGTTAATTTAATAATATATTTTAAAATATTTCGTCATTCTCTATTTTTTTCCTATTTAAGGGTTATGTATAATTTTTTATAATAGTATTTTTCAACTAGAAAATACAAACATATTTTAATTTTGAACAAAACATTAGCAATTCAAAGTTTATTTAAATGACTTGAGTTCGAATATTATCTAAATAAAAAAATAAACAACGATGAGAACCAGGCATTGAATCGTAAGAGACTATCATATGTGGTTGAGATAGACGACGATGAGGAACTATTTCCATGTCATCGGCACGTGGCGTGATATCATTGGCTATAAGCATGGGCCCACTGCATACTAACTGTCTCCTCTCTCTCCTATCTATCCATGGCTTTACGCGCTCAGACATTTTCACCATCACTGTCTCCACAAAAAAAAAAAATAATAATAAGAGAAAGCGAAGATCTACCATCACTCGCAGAATCTTAAGCTGAATCCACCATCCTTCAAAAGTTTTCTCGCCTGTTCTCAGTGCATTTTCTCGGCAAAAATTCCAGGATAGAAAATGCGATCGTGAGTGATAAAAAAGGAAACGATAACGAAGATCAGATATCTGACTGTGAGTGGAAAGTGAATTGAAGAAGAAGAGGACGAACTCACACAATGCTCAGTTCCTTCTTCTTCTTATTGAACTTTTTCTCCTTCTCTGATCCGGTGCTCGCCGGAGGCCGCCGCGTCCTCCACCAGCCCTTTTTCCCCGTCGACTCTCCGCCGCCGTCTCCTGTTCCGAAGATCCCGTTTTCCACTACTACTTTCCCATCAAACCCTGACGGCTCGCCGTTCTTCCCCTCGTACCCTTCGCTCCCTCCGCCTCCATCTCCGGCCCCCTTCGCATCCTTCCCCGCCAACATCACCTCTCTCACCCTTCCTCACGCGCCTAAATCACAGCGTAATTCTCGGAAGCTCGTGATCGTCGTCATCTCCTCCGTGATTTCCGCCGCCACCGTCGCCGGAATTCTCGCGTTGCTCTTCTGGCGAAGGAGAGGGCAGAACCGTAATTTTACCGATGATAGCAAGACGTATACCTCCGACAGCAGCCACCGAGTGTACCCGCCGCCGGCTCCTCCTCCGCCGCGTCGCAATGCTCAGGCTAGGAATAGTAAGCTTCGAGCGGAATCGATGAACACAAGCTCCGAGTTTCCTTACCTGGGAACTTTGGCGAATTCGAGAGCAGTGGAGGATCAATCACCGGGCAGTAATCGGAGCAATGTCGGTTCGATCTCGAGGAAACTGGAATCTCCTGATCTTCAGCCTCTTCCACCGCTCGTGAAACAGAGTTTCCGACTCAATCCGGATGTGGGTTCCATCGGAGAAGAGGAAGAGGAAGAATTCTATTCTCCGAGAGGGTCTGCGAGTGGTCGCGAGACCTTGAGCCGAGTCGGATCCGAGTCCCGGAGCGCGTTCGCGTCGGTTCCTGAACAGAAACCTACATCGAACTCATCGTCAAGCTCGGCTTCACTGGCGAGATCGGTTTTTATCAGTATCTCTCCGCCGAAGAGCCCGCGTCATCGGAGATCGGAATCGAATCCTACGGAGACCACCGCACCGGAGCCGTTGCAGAAATCTCCGGGGAGCTTTGAGTCATCTCCGGCGAAGAACTCGCAGATTTTAGTTGTCCGATTCACGCGGTCACCGTCTCTGTCTCTGGCTTCGGTTTCGCCGGAGCTTGAACCAGTGAAGAAATCCGATGGAAATTTGGCTCAAATCGATAGATCTCCGACAGTTTCATCCGCCGCAACTTCACCAGACAGATCAATCGACAAAAACACAGATGAATCTCCCCGTGGTTTCCACGATTCCGACCGAAATATTCAATCTCCGACGTTGTCCTCTACTTCCACGTCGCCAGAGAGACAACGGAATGAAGCCCAGGAAGCTTACGCGCGATTTCCTTCGCATTCCTCTGCTTCTACATCACCAGATAAAAATTTCCAGAAATCTCCGGAGGCATCCCCGGGTTTTGTGAACAATCTCCGGCAAGGCTTGAAATCTCAGTTACTCTCTTCCGCTTCCACTTTGCCAGAACAAAGTTTCATGAAAAATTCAAAAGCACAGCGTTCTCCTTCACTGTCTTCTCCTTCCTCCGTTTGTTCTTCACCGGAAAGAGATGCTCACAAATCACCAGTTGGGTCTCCGGCATTTTCCGGTCGGAACTCACAGTCTCCGTCGTCGTCGTCATCACCGCCATCTTCTCCGGAGCGAGGTTTCAGCCATAGCCAAGATGCATCTCCGAGGATCTCGAACACTTCAGCAAAAATTCTAGAATCTCCGGCGCCAAAACCACCGGCTTTTGAAGCTCCACAGGCGCCGTCACCCCCACCGCCACCGCCACCACCTCCTCCGCCGTTTCCATCATGGGCTCGCCGGAATCTGGCAACCCATCCGGAGCAGCCGATCTCCCGTCAACCACCGCCTCTTAATCCGCCATCACGGATCCAAAACCAAAACGTATCAATGACTTCTCCGAATAAGCTGCCAGAGAATTTCTCTGCAAGTGAATCCGTCGAGGAATCTCCTAAACCGAAGCTGAAGGCTTTGCATTGGGATAAAGTTAGAGCAAGTTCCGACCGTGAGATGGTCTGGGATCATCTTCGATCAAGCTCTTTCAAGTGAGCCCTTGAAACTTGTTGATGTTTGCCACTTTGCTTTCTTTCTTCAGACAGTTGTCGAAACACATTTGAATGCTTGCAGATTAAACGAGGAGATGATCGAAACATTGTTTATGGCAAAGACACCAGACCCGAAAACAAATCAGATAACTCCAAGATCTGTTCTTCCTCCCCTGAACCAAGAGAACAGAGTTCTGGACCCTAAGAAGGCTCAGAACATTGCAATCCTTCTTCGGGCACTTAACGTCACAATAGAAGAAGTTTGTGAAACTCTTCTTGAAGGTAAACAATGCTGTTAACTCCGTAGGTTGTCTTTCCAGAATATGAATTTCTGCAGCTCTCTTGTTCAGCACCATTCCTTTCATGTCTGCAGTAACCATTTAGTGCGGCAGTTTGAGGTTTTATAGTTACTGATGATGAACTGTCCCAAAGCTTCTTCCTTTAGTTTAAAATTGCCAAAAGTTTTGTTGGGTCATTTGGCTATTATCTCATCCGATTTTGATGGTCTACACTTTCCGGTTGGATCCCTCGAGTTATGTATCTGTCCATCTTGATAATCTGCAGGCAATGCTGACACTCTCGGGGCCGAGCTTCTTGAGAGTTTGCTGAAAATGGAACCGACAAAAGAGGAAGAACGCAAATTGAAGGAGTATAAGGACAAATCGCCCATCAAACTTGGCCTTGCTGAGAAATTTCTCAAGGCAGTACTTGAAGTGCCTTTCGCTTTCAAGAGGGTTGAAGCAATGCTTTACATAGCTAACTTTGATTCCGAGATTGAATACCTGAAAACATCTTTCGAGACTCTCAAGGTATCCCGAGTCCTTCTCCCTCCTCCTGTCTGTCTTTGAAGTTCTGAACAGGATTTTGATAGTTAGTATCGGGTCATGCCTTACTGAACATTTGATTTTTCCGATAGGCTGCTTGTGAGGAGCTGAGAAACAGCAGGATGTTTTTGAAGCTTCTAGAAGCAGTCCTCAAGACTGGAAACAGAATGAACATCGGGACAAACCGGGGTGATGCCCATGCATTCAAGCTCGACACTCTCCTCAAGCTAGTGGACATCAAAGGCGCAGACAGGAAAACAACTCTCTTGCATTTCGTGGTTCAGGAGATAATCCGGACAGAAGGAACTCGAATATCGGGTACTAGCCAGACCGATGACAGTAAATGCAGGAAGCTAGGCCTGAATGTTGTGTCTGGTCTCGGATCAGAGCTCAACAACGTCAAGAAAGCCGCTTCAATGGACTCGGAAGTACTAAGCAGTGAACTCTCCAAGCTCTGTAATGGCATCTCCAAGATCAACAAGGCTATCCAGACAGTGAACTCACACCAAAGCGACCGGAGATTCTCGGAATCTATGAAAAGATTCCTGAAAAGGGCAGAGGAGGAGATCATAAGGGTACAAGCCCAAGAAAGGGTAGCACTCTCTTTAGTAAAAGAGATAACAGAGTACTTCCATGGGAATTCGGCGAAAGAAGAAGCTCACCCGTTTAGGATATTCATGGTGGTAAGAGACTTCTTGGGGATTCTGGACAGAGTATGCAGAGAGATTGGGATGATAAATGAAAGAATCACCATTAGTTCTGGTAATAAGTTTCCAGTTCCAGCTAATCCCATGTTGCCACTGCCACTTCCTGGGCTCCATGGACGAGGGCAATGTAGTTCATCGTCTTCCTCGGACCAAGAGCAGACCTCATCTCCTTAGCTTTTTTTTTTTTTAAACTTAAGGAGGACTGAGTTGGATCAGCTGTTTTGTTTTGGTTCTGTGTTCTGTCTGTGCACAAGGGTTTTGTACAAAGTTTCCAGTGATGGCTATATATATACATAGAGAGAGAGAGAGAAAAGGATGTCAAAACTTTACTGCAACTGCGTTGGATCTTTGTAAAATCATGTAGAAGTACACCAGAATTTGTTTATTTGCCTAAAATAAAAAATACAAAACTTTTTTTTCCAAATCTGGGAGGATTCTTCTGCCATCTCCCCATTCTGATAAAATATATCGGCTTTCATACTCTCTGGTTCTCTTCCGGGTGTTCTTGCTGGACTTGTATGCAATGTACGTATATTGTTTACGTGAAAGAGAAAGGTATCAGAGATATATACGAATACGTAGAAATAAATACTTACGTATTCGTACATATCTCCAAGTAAAAATGTCAACTTCTACGGCTGGAAGGGGTCTCTCCAACATTCATCGTTCTTGACAGCGTTTCTCCATCTGCTCTTAAATCTCTCCAGTTCCGCATACGACTGCTTCCTAACCTATATTCAGTTTTTTTTGTGTGAATAACTTTAACCGAAATAAAAAATGAATGGGTTTTTCCTCTTCCTCTGAGACCAAACTGGTAAAGAACCTTACCTCGGATCTACCCGAACTATGCTGACTATGTTCGGTTTGGCCAGAAGTCTCCGCATCCGTCTGCATTTTACAGTCACACAGTCACTTCTATCGAACTTGAGACCGACGACAAAATGTTGATTGTCGAGAGACCCGGTTTCTAACCTTGTTTTCAGCCGAGCCCCCTAATGTCGGAAGACCCATATGCAGCAAGTACTCGGAATCGACAATGCCGATGTTTCTGGTCCGATCGCCCTGTAAAAAGCAATACCTTTCGAGTTATGAAAACAAACAAAAAAATGACCGAGCGGCATTGACGGGTTGGCGAGGCGAGAAATCACCTGTGCGCAATACCCGAGCTGGAAATCTATGCCCCATCCATGGTTCAAGTCGTTCTGCAATGATGTAACGTATATAAAAACACTTGATATGTATCCAGATGCCGAGAAAAATTTTATTATGTACGGCATAATACGTCAAGAACGGCACGAACGATACCTGAATCATATGCCACGTGCATCGCCAGGCGGCTTTGGAAAATACAGGAGCCATCATCTCGATAAATCTGCACGGTATCTTTCCTTTCGATTATACTTCAATCGCAAGAACATGAATGCAAACACAAGAAGAGAGAAATGAACTGCTTAAGCTTTTCTTGAAGGACGAAAGAGGAATCGGTCGTTTTTTATTTCAATCACCCTGTGCAAGGCGGCCCGGCGCTGTTCTCGTTGCATTTGGCCCGACCAATCACTTTGTATGTCCTCCTGATAAACACGAGATGCTTTTGTCATCATACCGGAAGTATGCATTTTTTAATCATCAATTCGGGTAACGAAATGATCTTTTTTAATTTCTTTATACCTATGAACTCTTGATTTGCTGTCTCGTGCGGTGATTTGATGGTGCAACTCCGAGGACCGAGGATCAAGAGCAGGTTGCGATATTTCAAGCCCTTCTTCCTTCACGATGGAAAGATATCTGCAATTTCATCGATTATATATCGTAACATCAGCTTCAGATCTTCACTGAATGACATAATACGAGGAGCTTCGAAGGAACTTAAAACCTTCTAGCATCAAAATGCTCAACACCGAGATCTTCGTCCCATAGAAATACGTAAGAATACGCTGACACGATATCCGGGTGCAGAAATCGCTTTGCAAACCACCTTCATCACAGGACCGAGTTCCGGAAAAAACAGAAAGGAATCAACAATTTTAGCAACTGAAAAAAGAATCATACATGTTTCCTGGTTTAGTGACTGAAGAACAGTACCACTTAGTCTGGTTTATGGCAGAAACATGGATAGCGGTTTCGCTCCAATCAAACTCCTTCCACTCATCAACGATACCGTCGTAGTGAAACATCATCACGACGAACTCATTCGACGGAAACTGCCGCGCCAAAGATTATTACATCAGAATTTGTTGTGCTTATGGATATTACGGACAAGTTCCAGACCTATTTACCTTCTTGACGATTTTGTTGACATTTTCCTTTTGTTTTATACCGGTTGCCATGGCCAATAAGTTCAGCTTCGGCTTCTGAAGAAAATAATAATAACGGTATAAGTAAACGGAAAACGTAGAAATTACCGTGCGAGATGTAATACCTTGTTGCGGACAATGCCCCATAACGGCCGCATTTCCAAGTCTGATGTATTTGCGACGATGCCTCTAGGTAAAGTCTCGCTTCCAAGAGGCCGGAATTGCGTCTAGTTATCCACGGGGTGAAACGAAAGATGTCGGTAAAGTAATACCGAGCAGAAGGCATATATGTACATGAGAAGCTACGGTTTTTACAGAACACACCTTGCATATCCTCAATCTCGCAAGACGAAGAGCAAATGCAGAGTTCCATCCAGATAAGCCCTGTACATTAGACCCGACAAATTACATGAACCATGTTACCATAATGGCATCTAGAATGTCTTAGAGAGTCGAAAAGGGAAGGGAGAACAAGAAGCTTCTGTAATAACATGGAGATTCAAGAAGCTATACGCTGATTTATAGCATATGCAGCGATGGAGCTTAGGCTTGGAAAAAAGGGTTTTACCTCCTTGTAATCTGTGGTGATAAATGCACTCCCTATGAAGAAAACTATGGCCAGCAAGATCACGAGAGGTAATAACCTGCGAAGAGATGAGCTATTTCTTCTCTGATTCATGCTTTGGGATCCCTGGAAGCAAGAAGAGCGGATTAAGAATCCATTAAGAGACAAATTCAAATCCCAAACTTACATCTTGAGAACTCGATGGAATGCGTATAAAAAGGCGAAGCTTTTCAACGAACATGGGTGGCAATGGGTATATATATACAGCGATACATACATAATGGACATACAGATGCACAGACAGAAAGCAGAGGTGGAGGTGCGCCACTAAAGACTGATAAAAATGGAAACTTTTAATAGTCTCTAAACCGGAGATTCTGTGATTATGCGAGTTTTGGATCATAAGTTCATTCAAATTGTTCCTACCGAAGATCAGATTCTTAAAACCCAGAAAAACCCAGGGAGCAAAATGGACAGCAATCGACAAGAATAACGTAAACCCACCAAGACTTTCCGGACACAGAGAATCCAGGAAAAAAAATCAGACAGACGGTGAAGAACAGAAACAGCCGCTGGAACAAAAGAAAAAGAGGGAGAAGAAGCAAAATCTTACATAACTCCAAATCTTGGTTTTCTTGTTCATCTTCCACGACAGTGGCGGTGACTACCGGTGAAGCTAGCTTTGTGAATTTAATACCAAAAAAGAAAGGGATTCATAGTGATGATTCCATATTTAAAGAAATAAAAATAATAATTTATTTTCTTTTACGGAGTTTTTCTTTTTCTCTTCCCTCCATCGTTGAAGTTGCTTCTGAACAGAAAAAGGGACAGAGTATATGGCACCGCAAGGGGTCAACAAGTCAAAAAGTTTTCGATTTTTTTTTTTCAGATTTGGTGTTAAGGTTGCTAACACATGTTCAGATTTTATTCGGTTTTATTAAAAAAAAAAATTACAAAACGTGATGCTTGCGTGCGTGAAGGCACGAAAGGAGCCACCTTTGGGACAATGACACGAGATGTTCACCCGAGGCCTCGCCGAAAATCTTGCTCTCGTCATTACACTCACCGATATATTTCGTATTTATATATATATATATATATATATGATTCGCATACACGTGGCTATACGATGTATGCAGAAGTTCTATGTTAGCCAGCATACACGCATACTTCAAAAAGTTTTCGGACTTTGTGTATTTTTCAAGTTTTGATCTTTTTATGAAGAGTTTACGATTTGTTGGAATATATTGAATTTATTAATATGGAACAAATGATATAATAAGATGTTTTCTGGTTCAAGTAAAGAGAATGTGATTCTAGAAAAAAAAAATGAAAATATTTAAATGTATTGGATTCAAGTACTTCCACCGTGTGGTGTGCGCCTGTTATTACCAGTTTGACCCTTTCTTCTTCCCTGCATCCTCTGCACGACCACGAGTACACTTCGATTCTTCATCTCCCCAACTCTTTTTTAATCGTATGTTCTTGTTTTTTTAGGTGCAGGAGCTAGCCCTGTTTCTGCAATCCTGATTAGGTTTTCTCTCATCTCATTCGGTTGCGATTATAGAAATCTTGAGCTTTGTTTCTTGTTGTTGTCATTAGATTCATGCCCTTTTCGGTTCTTGCTCTTTTCTGGGTATATCTTTTTCTGGTTCTGTTCTTCGGTTGGTGTTTTGTCTGTGTGTGTATCCCGATAACAATCTCTGTTCAGTCATATAAGACTCTCTTCTCGATCTGGAAAAAGGGAAAAAAATACCCACAAAATTTTGGGTGAAGGGTGTATTGAATTCGTGATTTAGCACGCGATTGTGTTCCGTTGCAGTGGATTTGGGCAACAGGGACGATCCCGGGGACCGAAAGCTTCATGGATCGGAGAGGGGAGGAGGAGAGATACTGGAACCCTATGTGGGGATGGAATTCGAATCCGAAGACGATGCGAAGAACTTCTACGTAGAGTACGCGAGAAGATTAGGGTTCGTGGTGCGTCTGATGCAGAGGCGAAGATCAGGAATCGACGGAAGGACACTTGCTCGGAGACTGGGTTGTAACAAGCAAGGGTTTTCACCCAACAGCCATGGAAGCACAGACTTTGGAGCAGAGAAGAGGCCGAGACACAGTGGACGAGAAGGTTGCAAAGCTACGATTCTGGTGAAAACGGAGATATCTGGGAAATGGGTCGTCACTAGATTCGTCAAAGGACACAACCATCCTCTCATCCTCACTGCCTCGCCATATAATTCGCTGGTTCGTTTTGCCTTTTCTGTACAAGTTCTTGGTTCTTGAATCCCTGTGTTGGTTTACACTGATTCTGAAATTCGCAGGCCGACAAAGACAGGCAGATCGAGGAGCTGACGAGGGAGCTCGAGCAGCAGAATCTGTTGTGCTCGGCTTATCGGGAAAGGTTGCTTAGGTTTATGAACAATGTTGAGCAACAGACAGAAGAACTGTCTTTCAAAATCAGAGATATTGTCGAGAATGTTAAGAAACTTGAATCTGAAATGCATCTGAATCTGTCTTTCGAGTAAAGCCTCATCTTCTACGTGTTTTTCTACACAAACAAGGAGACTAGGCCTTTGTCTGTATCTTCTCATGGTGTTCTGATGGACGACCCGACGGCGTAGATCCGGTGCGCGCGGCGGCGGAGGAACCACCGTTCTGTAACCAGACGACGATGAACTCCGACGAATCGATGGTGTCTTGGAAGTCGGACTTCTTCACCTGCTTAACACGTCTTCGCTGATTTAGGGTTTTAATCACGGCGGCGGAGAGGGACGAGAGAGACCGCCTCTACATTTTACGGCGGCGGAAGAACGACGAGGTCGATTCCGGTGACAGGCCTTTATTACGTCTACAAATAAACTGAGGCGCAGTTGATGCGTTTAGATCAAGAACGGCAAGCATTCTTTTAGTGTAAATATGAAACGGCATGTAGTCTGTCAAAGCAAGTAATGTAAAATGAAACATAACCATCTTTCAGAGAAGAATCATAACATAGGTGATAATGTAATGCTCAAAGCTTAAACCAAATATTTTCTTATCCAATCTACTGATACTACACAGAAAAAACATATGATGAACCCTTTATTCAATTTCTGTACTCGTTAATGAGCACGGGACGTGAATCTTGACGGGTTTTATATCTTTTCTCCCGCAAGAAATCGGCTATAGAACTCCAAGGACTCTTGGGGCTTGTACTCGGGAACTGTATGCCCTGCCCCCTGCACAAACATCGCGTTTTCGGATTAGAAAAAAAGTATCCGAAAGCATGTTGCAGCTTTTTTCATCTTAGAATTCGATAAAGACGCAATTTTTTATTAGTATTTGCCTTGATGGTTAGAAACGTGAGATTGTTCTCGTATCCTTGTGTATATCTGCAATCAGTGTCGAAAAATTGCAGAGGGATGAGAACTTGAAACATGCGAAATGCAGTTTCATTTTTGATAGAGAAGGAGTTGAGTTGCGAAACCGTTACCCGGCAACTTGGTCGTTTGACATCCATGGCCTCCATTCATCTATGACCTTGTACCCGAGAGATCTTGTCCATGCTTCAGTACCAGTAAATGGTATGCACATATCATGATCTCCACTGCAGAACAAAAATAGACTTAAGTGATGATGATGATGATGATGATGATGATGATGATGATGATGATGATGATGGTGACGATGATGATGATAATTTTCGATTCTTGAACCTGTATATGAGTGCTCGGTATCCGCTGAGAGTGAGGTTTATATGGAGATTGATCAAGTTCGCATTGTCGTGTATATAATCAAGCCTTCCTGTGCACAGTGTCCAGCTTCCGATCTCACTAACCTGACAGTTTTCTTGCACGAATCTTACAACGTTAACTTCTCGTCAGAGAGTTATGTTTCAAGAATTTAGAAAGGAAGAACTTTGATCAAAGTGGCTGACCTCTTTGGCATGAAGTGCTCTCCTGATTGCCGGATCGTTCAGCCAGGCTGTTGCCACTCTATCGTCCTGCAGATAACGTCGATCTTTTTTAGTAAAGTGACGTGTTTGCGCACGTCCGCCATGAGACTGAGCACGAGTTCTTCACCGGCGAGAAACCGACCTTCGGATCCGAGTTCGGGTTTTATCCCGTAATTACCCACAAAAATCTGAGGGCAAATTGTTTACTTACAGTGCAAACAACACTCGTTCTTTCGAGAAGTTGAGGCCAGTTCGGGACCTTGCCTGGACGTACATGAGCGCGAAGAGGCCAAGCACGCCCGAACATCCGCTTTCTCACGGGCAAGGCTCGTTCCGTTATGCCTAGTTGAAGGAAACTAGAAGGCAGTTTCATGTCAGACGCTGAAAGAGACGAGTTTCCATGGTAGCACGGCTCGAGAATGTTGTACATGTTCAACCTTCCAACATCCTGTGTGAACAAAATCGTTCAGACAACCGTTAAGACATGATTTGCAGACCTGAACCTTTCAGAACTTCATGTACCTCGTCGACTTTCGCTAGTTTCTCCGAGCATTCGGGTCCGTTCGGGTTATAGAAACTTTCGTTGCACGCTTTGGTAACCTCCTGAAAATTACCCGTTCCGGGTTGGATCAACCAACGACAAGGAAATATGGTCGGAAAATGAGGATTTACAACGAGTGGAAAACCTGGAACAGTGCATCCGAGATCAGTCCCATTCCATGTGCGAACGGGACTAAAGCATTATCGTCGTAAACCGAATCCGAAACTCCGTTACCTATCAAATATCCCTGAAACAATTGTATACATTTCCATTTTCAGATTCTAAACCAATTTTTAAAGAACATTCAAAACAAGAACTTTCCACACAGAAGCTCTAAAACCGGCTTTGAACTGAAAAACAAACAAACCAGAAGGTACAGAATCGGTCTGAAAATGAGCTGATATCGTTTTCGGTTCCTAACCTTGAAGTTAATAAACGGCTTTACGCCATCTTTTTGTCCTGCATTAGGACGATACAGTGCTTAGAAGATTCAAAAATCGTGTTTTTTGTTTACTTCAAACTCACGAAAGAGGCTAAAAGATGAAGGCAGAAGATAACAGTCAGTACCATTGACGATTTCGGAAGCAAGTGTCGGCACGTATACTCCGGCAAATGATTCTCCGGCGAGATAGAACGGATTCATTTGAAACTTCGGGAAATTTTCGAACCACTGGTGAAACACAGAAACAGGCGAAAGGATAGTCTGAAACGCACGACGAAAAGAGTGTCCGGAAAGGCGAAAAACTACACATTCTTGTAACTCACTTTGAGAAGAAAAGTGTGAGAATCTATCGCAGTCTGAGTGTCGTTGGTTCGGTAATCAGACTCGTTCTTCGAGTAAGAAAACCCGACACCGACAGGGGAATCAAGGTAAATGATGTTGGAAACCTGAAAAGAATCGGGAATGAAGCATTTGACAACGGCGAAAGAAAATCGATACGATAATGTTTCAATCACAAGACAAAACTTATGTTGTGTTCTTGCAACCTTGGACCAGCTGTAATGATTGAGCCGTAAGTGCGGTAAACCACCCTCGGGTTTCACTTGTTTGAAATCAAAAGGACCTGCAATAAAATGTGTAATCATATCTTGAAACCTAACCCTAATATCTTACTTCAGAGACAAGAAATCGTGTAAATGGTGATGTTTTTACCGTGTTCATAGACAAATCCATCCATACTCGAGCAACCTGGACCGCCATTGAGCCACAGAACAACAGGGTCCTTGTAGGGGTTCTTCTCCGATTCCACAAAGTAATACCACATATTCTTGCCACGATCATTATCTATTGTCACGTACCTAAGATCAGAAAAGGTTATGACTTTTCAGAACCCATCAAAACATAGGATCAAGGCTTGAAACGGGGAAGAAACCCGGAAACGAAACGTGAAAAAGAGACGGGTTTTTCCGAGCAAATCGATGGATTTTGATTACCCGGCGTAGTGTTTAGAAGGAAACTTGGCATTGAAGCCAGGAAGTTGGGTGACGAGATCAGATTCTGGAGCTGACTGTGCCATTACAGCAGCCAAAGACAACGTCAAAGCAACAGCAACAACTTCAACTAACCAACCCATTCTCAAGAACATCAACTCGAAAAAACCAAATTCTACAAGAAACAGAACAGGAAAAAAGAAGAAGAAGATAATATCTTTTGAGAAATGAGGTGTTGCAGATCTTTTTGTTTATATAGAACCCATGAGTGGGAAAATTAACAAGAAGAAGGGAATTTGCAAGAAAGTCTTGAAATTAACAAAAAAATCATTATAATTTGCATATTTTTGCCATAAATTATTGCAGATTTTGAGTCCAAAAAAAAAGATCAAAATGTGGAAACTTTGAACAAGAAGGGATTTTGGATCAATGCAAAAGCAACTTTCTGAGAAATTTTTATCAAAAAAAAAAAACTTTCTGAGAGATTTATTTCGCTTCGAAGGCACGAAGGAACACGAGAGTATATGCGTGTACGTATATATATACATGTATTAACAAACTACATTGCTGTATACATGCATGGGTCGTACATATATGTGTATGCACATACGTGTATCTGTGGTGTATGTATGTGAGTTTGTGTCTGCATTCTGTATTCAGATGTCAGGGAATGACGAGCAGATTGAAAAGGTGCAAGGGAAGCGGCAGTTGAGGAGGTTGTAAAGTAACAGGGCAGTTACTAAAAGGAGCAGTTGAAACCAATGATATTTTGACACGTGCAGGCCATAAAGAGGTCTCTTGTTCTCCTCTGCATTTTTATTTTGCATTATTATGCCTATTTGAGGTAAACTACTCAGTCTACGTGAATGATTAGTATTAATTTCTAACCTAATGGGTTTGACCTTGAATAATTACATGATTAATGTGGCATTAATCCCAATGTCTCCACCAATCCATTAGAAGAATTTCCATTCTCAGACAAATTAGCGTCAAATCGTATAATATGATTGAATCTAAATAATGTTGTATTGGAAACAATGGAAAGAGAGACGCCATTAAATAATTGAATGAATTGGTTGATGTCTAAATGCCAAGACAACAATCATTCCAACAACCTTCACATGTCTTGTCCCTCTTTCAAGTTTCAATGCTTCCCATTTTGGATTTCCATTCCATCATTCTTTTCATATTTGTAGTTTTTTGAACCATACCAATTTAGATTTGATTTCGGTTTGGATTTTTTTTATTACTAAAAAAAATATTAATTTTTAAAAAGTTTTAGTAATTCGGTTTTTTGAAAAAAAATCATATAAAATCAAGTTTATTAATCTTATTTTTTTTTAAAAAAAGTCACCCCATTAAAAATTTTGACGTCCACCATTGAATCCACCATTATCACAATCACTTTTTTTCCATTAATTATGGCAACGAAATTCATAAGAAATAATTCAAGTTTAATTATGGATGAGATAAAAAAAACATTCTTGACAAAGTTTATATTATTCATTACAAGAATAAAACTTATGTCCATATTAGAATAATTAACCATATGGTAAAATATTTCGAACTTACGTCCAGACGGAGAGAGCGATGGTCTACGGAAGAGAACACGGAGGAAATACCCCGAATGTTCCTTCCTTTTCCCCTTCTTCATCACCTTCTCACGCGCCAACAAAAAGCGCGTGAAATTCCCGCCGCTCTGCTTTAACAGTCAACACCCGAGGGACACTTGGCTATCTACGAATAGCCAGATATTGTAGATTGCGTGGACGTAACTGTAGAGGATGGTGGCCAAATGCCTTGCTCAAATGCGGGTCCCGCGCTCTCCACCAATAATTGATCATTCTCCTAATCCCCTCTGTCTTCAAGCTGGCACCGTTGTCTTCCTCCACTCTCGCGTGGAGAATTCCCGCCAGCCATAGCTATATCGTCGTCGTCTCCGTATGAATTGAGTCAACATAAGCGATTTCAAGGTCTCTCCGATTCTTCTTCCTTCATGTTCTGACCCCTGGATAGAGATAAAACCCGCTGAGGTGCGAGGAAGATAATCGCCGGAAGAAATGGTTCGTCTGACTGGAAACGCTGTCCTCCGGTCGATTTCCTCCATTTTTCTGATTTTGGCGTTGGTTTCTGCTTTTCTGGCGAGTGCCCAGAAGCAGAAAACGGTTTATGAGGTTTTGAAGGCACATGGGTTGCCGATGGGTCTGCTCCCGAAGGGCGTGAAGAAGTTTTACATGGACGAGACCGGTAGGTTCGAGGCTCATCTGGATCAAGCCTGCAATGCCAAGTTCGAGAGCGAGTTGCACTACGAGAGGAACGTATCGGGGACACTGAGCGATGGTCAGATCGGTGAGTTGTCGGGGATCTCCGCTCTGGAGTTGTACCTGTGGTTTCCGGTGAAGAAGATCCGCGTTGACGTACCGAGCTCCGGCCTTATTTACTTCGACGTTGGTGTCGTACTTAAGCAGTTCTCTCTGTCGTTGTTCGAAACTCCCCGGGAATGTGTCGCCGGTAGGGAAGCCCGGCCGGAGAATGAGATCGGAGACGGCGACGTCTTCAATGGTGCGGATTCTGAGGTCAGGTGCCCTCTTTAGTTTGTATGATCGACAATGAATTGATGATTGAATTCATCGATGTTTTGATTGTTTATGTTTCACATATTGGCCATTGAGATAACTCAACATGCCCCATTGTCTTTTTGAATCTCCAAGTAGATTGAACAAGTTTGGTTGCACTGAATGACAAGCTATTTGGTTGCTGTATGATCAGAATCAGCCTTCGAAGCTAAGGTTTCAGCCCGGTCGGGAAAGTTTGTGACGAGTTTCGTGTAGATTGCCACTGGAGGAGTTCTTTTACCAAGTTGCAAGATTGTTCGATAAGCGCTTAATGGATTTCTTCCTCGTGCTTCCCCTGTAACTGGTGCCCAGAAGAATCGGCTTCAATGGTTCCACTGCATTGTCCAAGTGTGATTTTGCATTTTTGCTCTTTCATGGTTTCTGTTTCTGTAGAGTTTCAGAGTCAGGTAACTATGCCAGCCACCGTAAACTAGATCAAGAAAGGAATTTTGCCGAGGCGTCGATGATTTTGTGTTGGTCATTGTTGATCCAAAAGGAAAAGGGGAGATGGGGTAAATCTTTGGATACCTTCATTGATGCAAAATTTATAGACTTGTCGAAGAAATGCTGCAACTACACTCGTTTTCTGTAAGCATAGACAATAGTTTTGGTGATATTATACGTTGTCTTTATGAACAGAGAGGCCACTACTGGTCATGAAATAATAAACGTTTGCTTTTCTTTTGATTTACCAGATCAGTGTGTATTTATTCTTCATGCTGAACTCTGGTTATAAGCCTAGAAGGGACCAGCTCTTTGTGTTTTTCTTAGTAACGGCTCGAGATCTTGTTTTGGTTCGTTTGTTCTAATGTCGGATGAATCACAACTCCGTACAATTAAGAACCGGAAGCACTGGAGTATCGGTCTGCACATGATCAGTTGTGTGATCCGTATTTACGCGACTCCTAAGGCACATCATCCCCATCCGGCCGAGACCTTCTCGACCCCAAACTTCTCGAATTCTCTCCACTCCCCTGAAGGGTCTTATCAAATACCCTTTCCCGAGTTTTCATCATCTTGTTCTCAAGATGAACGTCGATAGATGTCATGGCGATAGCGCAATCGTTTCGCCTGTTTCTCACATATCTCAGACATTCATTCAAGACTTTCCCGCACGAGACCAGGGTCTAGGGATGCCGGCCACGTAGTGACTCGAGGGCGACCTCAAGCACTTGTTGGCTACTTCTCTCCGCCGAACGTGGCAAAGAAGTTCCTCTGTTCTGTACTGACATATCGATTATCTTAGTCAATCCCGTCTCATTGAACAGCTTTACGACCTTTACCTATCTCGGGTTTTACACCCCGAAAAAAAAAACGCCTTGTCCAAAAAATTCCGGCTCCACTTGTAGAGATTAGGCTCGTATCTCATCAAATAGTTTTTGGAACAACACCATGGTTCCTGTCTGTTCTAAGTCCACCAGGATTCGGACCCGTGTTCACTCGAGTATGAGACGCATGACTGACCAGAACAATATTTCCACGGAAACAACAATGTCTTCGCCATCATTTCGTAGGCATATAAGATTTTCTCTGTGCCATCTTATTCAATTCTATAAATCAGAAATTACAAATCCATGCATTGCCATAAACAAGATAGATCACAATACCATACATACTACATCTATCATCCCATCTGCAAAAAGCAATCTTTCTTTAAGACGGAAATTTCCCAGTTTCAGTACACAATTACTCTCAAACTTCTATAGATCAGATACGAATTGTATAGCAAAAGATCAAAACCTGGTAAGATCGATAAGCTTACATTGCTCAAACCCAGAAGCAGCCCTTCAATATCCCCTGCTGTTGTTCAGAATCGAACCCAGAGTTCCTAAAACCGCGAAAGCCAGCAACGGGCTCACGTCCAGAGTGTCGAAAACAGGAGGGACTATATTCCTGAAGAGATTCAGGTAAGGATCACAAAGGTCTCTAATGGCGGACAAAGGCTGGCGATCCCATGGAATGTTCGGGAACCAACTGAGCAAAACCCTAACCATCAAAACCCCACTGTATATATCGAGCCACTTCGACAGCCCGGCGGCGACCACCGTGAGCGGCGTGTTCAGGTAACCGGTCGGCCGGTCCCGGAGAGAGGCGAAGAATGCCGGACCCGCAGTTCGGAGAGAAGCCTGGAGAGATCCCTGAATCAGGGGACTGAGATTCACGGCTGCGAGTGAGAGTTTCTGGGCTAGGGATTTGGCGACGATGGAGGCTAAGAGAGCGAGTGTGGTGATCGACCGAGTGGAATCGGTGAGTGGGAAACAAGTTCGGGGCTGTGGGCACCGTGAGGACGCCGTCGGCAACGGGGAAGCAACGGCGGACGCGAAGATTCTAGGGTTTTTTAGGG